ATCATACTGCCACGTGTGTTCCTATGCAACAATTTTGCATGTTCTTCACATGTACCCCAAAACCTAAATGCAATAAAATAAATAAATGGGAAAAAATAAATAAATAAAACAAAAACGGAGCTATCTAGCAAAAGAAAAAAAAAAACCAAAAAAATAAAAAAAATAAAAAAATTACAGAAAGAGGGAGGGAGAGAAAGAGAGAGAGATTACCAAAAAAGGAATTAGCATGAGATTCATATCAGACTTCCCATCAGCAATGCTGGATAAAAACAATGCGAGAAGACAATAAAGCAGTATCTTTAAAGTTTTGATAGACAAAAATCTTGACCCCCAAATGTGATAACAGACAATCATTCAAGCAAGCTACAAAATGCTACAGTGAGCTAAGTGATTAGGAAATATTTTATTGCTTAAATAGGTTTGGGGGTTTTCTTCATGGAAAAAACATAATTTATAATTTTAAGGAATAATCTTAATTTTTTCTTTTTCCCCTGTTATTTTTTTATTGATGCATAATAGAAGTCCATAGTTTTGGAGTATATGTGATAATTTAATATGTTCATATAATTTGTAAAGATCAAGTAAGTGTACTTGGGATATTTATCACCTAAAATATTTGTCATTTCCTTATGCTAGAACCGTTCAAATTCTTCTCTTCTAGCTATGTTGAAATATCCAATAGATTCCTATAAACTATAGTCACCTTACTGATCTATCTAACACCAGGTTTTATTTCTTCTTTACTTTTTTCTTTTTCTCAGATGGGGTCTCACTCTGTCATCCAGGCTGGAGTGCTGTGGCATAATCTTGGCTCACCGCAACCTCCACCTCTCAGGTTCAAGAGATTCTGCTGCCTCAGCCTCCTGAGTAGCTGGGATTACAAGCATGCACCTCCATGCCCGACTAATTTTGTATTTTGTTTTTCTCCATGTTGGTCATGCTTGTCTCGAACTCCTGACCTCAGGTGATCCGCCCACCTCGGCCTCCCAAAGTGCTGGGATTACATGCATGAGCCTCCATGCCTGGCCTAGTAAACATTTCTTTATCCAAGCCCTAAGAAAACCCTCAGGAAAGAATTCAAAAACAAAATTGGAAAAGAAAAGTTTATTAAATAAAGGAAGACATAAATCTTCCCATTGAAAAGGAGAAATTAATAAATGCAATATATGCTAGTGAAGGAACTGATTTGCAAATATAAATAAAGACTACTGTGGACAACCAGCCAGAAAAAGGGTAGTGGGGAGTCACCTACAAGGGGAGAGCTAGGGGAATAGGATCATACAGACAACATTGAAGGCTGGAGACAGTGAAGCAATGTCTACAAAATTCTCTTAGAAAATAAAAGAAGATTGGACATATATCTTCAAAGATACAAGATGCAAAAAGACGTTTAAGTCCTCATTTTTAAAAAACAAAAACTTCTTGGCAATGAAATCAGTTCAGCTAATAAACAAATCAAAATTAAGACCTCAGAAATTGGGAAGTCATGGTAAAGGAGATTACAGAAAATATTGAATTAATTAAAAATAGAGCTACAAATGTAAACAGCTGCAAGATTTTTGGCTACAATAGAATGTACGCTTAATAAATTATAACAATGTAAAAAAATGATATCTTTCACCAAACTCAGTGGTTGAAGGGGAAACGGACAGAAAAGAAGAAACTTCTCTACTTTCAGGTTAGAAAGTCCAAGGCTGAAAAATCAAATGAAGTATGTGTTTAAGTATATCATTTAAAGTTTACTAATTTTTCAACGAATAGTTATTGAGCACCTAATATGTCCAGGCTTTGTTCTAGGTACTGAAGATACAACATATAAATGAGACTAGAGACTTAAAACCAAACGTAACGGAAACATCAGTAAACATAAACAGAATAATTATTAAAAGATAATCATTCTTAGATTGAGTAAAAAGCGAATCATCTTCTATCAGTTGGGATAGGCTACAGGAAGAATAAAACAACATTTCAGCCACCTAACAAAAGTTCAGTTCTTGCTCCATACAATGTTTAGGCTGAATTCTTCCACATGAACAGTAAAATTTCATAGTCTGCACATGTATTTCTCTTTTACAGACACCATAATCAAGTAGCCAATGCTAGTTGGTTGGGTCTCTGCAGAGGGTTTCTGTAAGTTGGAATATTCTTACTACTACTTTGATTCTGTTGTCCATTATGGTAACCACACCCACTTTGTCTTTGGCAATTAAGTGTTGCCAATTGACTCCTGTCACCCTAGGACTCAACTATCCCCATTTCAATGGCAAACGTTCCCACTGTAATTTCCAGCTTACAAAGAAAAGTGAACACAGAGTTCTTCAAGGATGCGGGGACTTCTTCACAAATTCAATCCTCACAAATCCGGTGAAAGATGTGTCCTCTAGTCCTCTTGCTCTTGGTGGATAAGCAAGTCTGACATGATAAATCCATTCTAGCATTCCAATCCAGTATATATAACCTCCTCTGGAATATATCAAGGCAGTTCTAGCATTTCAATTTCATTTGTCGTGGGGTCAATTTTTGGTCCAAGTTTCAGCCAATCAACCAATCAAACTATTAAAGCCCTTTCTAACACTGAGCTGCAACACTGAATTCGGAATCTGTTTAGTAAATCCGTATCAGTAAATTCAGCCTGATCCAACCGTGTTTTGTCTCCACCATTATCCCACAGCCTTAATATCAATTGCCACACATATTCCCCAAATTTTTATCAGTATAAATTGGAAAAATCATGTGGTTCTTTTGTTGTGTAACATTACACTTCATGTGTCACAATTTGTACCCAACCTATTGAGGACAGCTAGGGCTTAATTAAGTCTGTGTATATCCCTAAAATCAAAAAGAGGTAACTGGGATAAGTTTTGAGGATAATTAGCAGCATCTTGCAAGGCAACTACCTCCAAGAAAACCATTACAGATTCCTTAGGAAAATCAGGGTTAACTTCTTCAGACACAGGTAGAAGGGCTGCTTTTATTGGTTCTTGTGTACAGGTTAAAAAAAGATACTCATTTACTGAGCACTGTTTATAAAAGCAAATGACTAAACAATCAATGGGTCTGTCAATAAGATTCTGGCTAAATTATGTTTCTTTCATACATTGGCAAAGTGTAGAGTAGTTCCAAAAAATAAGATAAAGGTATATGCACTGACATGTTCAAATCTTCTGCCACTGTAGATGAAAAATGTAATTGCATAGCATGAATAGTGCAGTAATATTTATGAAAAAAGGTACATTTGCTATATCTTTGATATAGGGGGTTGTAAGGAGGTAGACCCATTTTTTAACACTTCTAAGACATTGAGATAGAAAGATTTCGATTTTTCCCCCTATTTTTCCTTCTATGCATTTATGTCTTTTTACAAGGTGAATGTATGTACATGTTACACCTGTGGACAGAAAATAAAAATAATAGCTAAGTCCAGTGTGTCAGGTTCACAAAAGCCTTACCTGAAACTGGTACTGGGTGAATGCCAAGAAAGGTAAAATCTGTCACTCAAGACACGTGGAATTTCTGTGCCATTTGTGTGCGTGGAAGAAACACCCAAATTCTCTCAGTAAGTTGTGGGTCCTATAGGATAGGCAAGCATTTGATGGTCTTGAAGAAGCGTTCCTTGTATTTGCTGAACCTCTGAGAGACCAGGCAGGCCGCACAAACACATTCCAGATTAGTTGGGCCAAGGGGCAAACCGCGTGCTCTCAACACAGCCTCCGCGTCCGGGCGCGCGGCCGGAGCGCAAACTCCCCCAGAATTTCTCCAGGAAACCGTTGGGTGGGGCCAGAAAACCGTTGGGTGGGGCCAGGAAACCGTCTGGTGGGATCTCCACAGCTGCTTTTCACCTGCTGTCCTGCCTGTGCTTCCTTAGAGGAAGAATCAATGCCGCGGGTGGAATCTGAGCCCGAGACGTGGCCGGAGCAGAAGCCCAACCTCACCAAGCGGGACTCCGAGACCGGGACAGAGTGGGACTGGGAATTTGAGGACTCAGAATCGGAGGGCAAGCAGCCACCCACGGGACCCCCCGCACCCCCAGGATCCCTGGCGTCGGAGGGGGACGATGCACCATCCCTGCCGTCGGAGGGGAAGGATGCACCACCCCTGCGGACGGACGGGGACGATGCACCCCTGCCGGAGGGGGACAATGCAACCCCTCTGCCGTTGGAGGGGGACAATGCACCCCGCCTGCCGTCGGAGCCGGACGTTGCACCCCGCCTGCAGTTGGAGCGGGACGATGCGCCCCTGCCGGAGGAGGAAAGCCCCGAGCCGGTAGCCGTCTGCGGTCACCGGCGCCGCTGTCACACCGACTGCCTAGAGGCGCCGCTGTCCCGCGCCTTCCAGTGGCTGGGATGGCAGGTGGGCGCGCACCCCTGGATCTTCCTGCTGGCGCCCTTGATGCTGACGGCCGCGCTGGGCACCGGCTTCCTGTACCTGCCCAAGAACGAAGAGGAAAACTTAGAGTACCAGTACACCCCGGTGGGGAGCCCGGCCAAGGCAGAGCGGCGCTTTGTGCAGAACCATTTCACCACCAACGACTCCTACCGCTTCTCCCCCTCCAGGAGGAGCACGGAGACCAATTTCATCTCGATCCTGGTGGTCTCCCACAGCGACTCACTGCTGGACCCGGCCACCTTTACAGAAGTCAGCAAACTGGACAGCGCGGTACAGGATCTGCGTGCGGCGCAGGAAAACGGAAGTCAGATCCAATACCAACAGGTGTGCGCGAGGCACAGGGCGCTCTGCGTGCCCCCCAATCCGCTCCTGCACGCCTGGCAGGTGAACAAAACGCTCGACCTGAGCAGCATCTCCTTCCCCATCTACAACCACAGTGGACAACGCCTCTACCTGACCGGCTTCTTCGGAGGACACATCTTGGGGGGCAGCCTAGGAATGGGCCAGTTACTCCTGCAGGCCAAAGCCATGCGGCTGCTGTACTACCTGAAGACCGAGCTCCCTGAGGACGACGTGCAGAGCAAGCAGTGGATCATCCATTTCCTCGACCAATTAAACAACATTAAGAACAGCCTGGCCTTGGAGAAAATTGAGGTACCTGGGGGTTTGGGTCTACAGGGAGACCAGGAGAAGGTGGGAGGGATGAGGAAGACTTGCACCCAGAACCCTAACAAAAGCACTGCCTGACTGCTTGATGGAGTCCTTGCCTCTAGGCTGGGTGTGCTCTACTGTATTTGGTATTCAATCCAATTAACACCGACGATGCCCGTTGGTAACATTCTAGTTGATAACACAAATCCTGTGTCCACCAGATGGGCCTGTTCAGTACAGACATTGATCTTCATATTTAATTTTGGGTTTTGGTTTCTAATCAAATTACAGTGCTCTGAAATTCTACTTTTAGTTAAAGTCTTCACTGGTTTGGGGGAGCCCCCTAAAACTTGATTGGAGCTCATTGGGATTAAGAAACAAACCACCTTTTACATAAAAGTTCCATGGTGTTAAGAAGATAACTAGCCTAGCATTTTTCAAGTTAGTTACATACAAAGCACCTGACTTAGTGTGAGGTACATATTAGCTGTTCAGTTATCACTGGGTCAGCAACCCTATTAAGGCGTATAAGTAAAAGAGACACCTGCTGGGAAGAGTTTTCAAAGACCAGGCCCTCCTGAAATATTTATGCAATTGAAATAGTAAAAGACACCAACCAATACAAATTTAGAAAAAGTTACAATTTTTCCAGCTGTTAGTGAGAACAAGATTAAACAGTTTTAGTCTTGGCACGGTGGCTCACGCCTGTAATCCCAGCACTTTGGGACACAAAGGCAGGTGGACTGCTTGAGTCCAGGAGTTCAAGACCAGCCCAGGCAACCTGGCAAAACCCCATCTCTACAAAAAATACAAAAGTTAGCCAGGCATGGTGGCACACACCTATAGTCCCAGCTATTCAGAAGGTCCAGGCAGGAGGATCACTAGCCCCAGGAGATTGAGGGCCCAGTAAAAAAAAAAAAAAAAAAAAAAAAAAAGAGAGATATCAAAGTTTTATATACAATTCAAATTTTGTTTATTCAGGAGTTTTATTTAAACTTTGAATTTGAAAGAAAGTTGAGGAAGCACACCCGAGATGTGTGGAAAGGAGCAAATTTACATTATTTTCTCTATTCTAAAATCTTAATTCATGTATTTTTATCTTTTGCTGAATTTTAACATATTGCTTCATCACTAAGAAAAGCGTTTCAATAGTGTTTTTAACTCACACACAAATATTGTAATTAAAAGTTATTTATCCGAGTATATTTTTTGTGGCAGGTGGTCCACTTTACATCGGTTTCCAGACGACTGGAATTTGAGGCAACTTCTGAGACAGTGGTCCCTTTGTTTCACCTGGCGTACATCTTCATTATACTGTTTGCAGTCACATCATGCTGCAGGTAAAAAGCTTTGATTAGGTTTTGAAACTCTTACTTTATGAAAAATATTTCATTGTGGTAAAATATAATAATATATGGCATAAAATATGCTATTATAGTCATTCTTAAGTGTATAATTCAGTGGCATTGATTACATCCACACCGGCATGCAACCATTACAACTATGTTTTCAAATATTTTGCATCACCCCAAACAGGAACTCCGCTACCATTTTGCAATAAATTCCCCATCACCACCACCCCCCACCCACCCAGTGCCAGTTAACCTTTAATCTACTTTGTCTCCATGAATTTTCCTAAAGATTTTATATAAATGGAATCATATAATTGCCTTTTTGTGACTGTCTCATTTCACTAGGCATAATGTTTTAAAGGTTCATCCTTGTAGCATGTTTCAAAACTTCATTCCTTTTCATGGCTGAATAATACTGAGTCCTTCAACTTTGTTCTTCTTCAAGATTATATAGATCATCCAAGACTCCTTGAATTCCATATGAATTTAAGAATTGGATTCTCTATTTCTGGGGGGGAAATGGTTACCAGAATTTTGATCGGAATTGTGTTGAATCTATAGATTATTTTGAGTAGGACTGGCATTTTAGCAATATGGAGGCTTCCAACCCAGGAACTAAGAATCTTTCCATTTATCTAGATCTTTTAAAATTTCTTTTACCAGTGTTTGGTAGTTTTCAGTGTGCAGGTCCTTCACCACCTTGGTTAAAGTTATTCCTAGGTGTTTTATTCATTTGGAGCAATTTAAATGGAAATACCCTCTTAATTTCCTTTTTGGATTGTTCATTGCACATGTATAGAAACACGACTAATTTTTTGGTATTGATCTTGTGTCCTGAAGCTGTGCTGAATTTATTAACTCTGGTGGTTTTCTTCTGGATTCTTTAGTGTTTTTCTTATATACAATCGTGTAATCTCTGAGAAGGGAGAGTTATATTCCTTCCTTTCCAATTTAGATGCTTTTTATTTACGTTTCTTATCTAATTGCTCTGGCTAGAACTTCCAGTACAACACTGTATATCAGTGGTGGAAGTGGAAGTCTTTTCTGTCTTGTTTCTGATCTGATGTTAGAGGAAAGCTTTCATTCTTTCACCCTTGAGTATGATGTCAGTTTTGCTATTTTTATAAATGCTTTTATTATTTTGAGGCATTTTTCTTCATATTCCCAGTTTTTTAGTGTTTTATTATGAAAGGGTGTTGGATTTTGTCAAATGACTTTTTAACATCTATTGAGATGATCATGTGGTTGTTGTCCTTTGTTCTATAAATATGGCATATTACATTGATTGACTTTCTCCTGATGACTCACTCTTACCCTTCTGGGATAAATCCCACCTGGCTCTGATGTATAGTCCTTTTAATATGCTTCGGATTGGACTTACTAACATTTGTTAATGACTTTGCACCTATATTCGTGAGAGCTATTGGTTTGTAGTTTTCATTTCTTGTGATGTCATTGTCTGGTATTGTATCAGTGTAATTATGGTCTCCTAGAGTGAGTTAGGAAGTGTTCCCTCCTCTTCAATTTTTTGGAAGAGTTTGAGAAGGATTCCTGTTACCTCCACTTTAGATATTTGGTAAAATTCATCAGTGAAATCTGGCCCTGGACTTTTCTTTGTTGAGAGTTTTTCAATTACTGGTTTAATATTTTGTTCTGCGTCTGTTGAGATTTTTTCTTTCACTTTAAGTCAATGTGGGTCATTTGTGTTTTTGTAGGAAGTCATGTTCATCTAGGTTATCCAGTTTGTGGACATACAGTTTTTAATAGTATTCTCTTATAAACTTCTCTATTTCTGTAAGGTCAATAGTAACGTCTCCGCTATCATATCAGCTTTAGGTATTTGTGTCTTCTCTCCTTTTTTCTTTGTCACACTAAGTAAAATTTAATCAGTTTTGTTGATCTTTTCAAGGAACCAGATTTTGGGTTGATTAATTCTACTGTTTTTCTTTTCTGTACTTACCTCTGTTCTAATCCATATTCTTTCCTTCCTTCTTCCTGTGGTTTGAATGTTTGTATCCTCCCAAAATTCCCCTTGTGGAAATCTGATTCCTGGTGTGATAGTAATAAGAGATGAGGCCTTTGAGGAGTGATTAGAATGGGATTAGTTCCCTTATAAAAGAGTTCTGAGGGAGCTTGTTAGCCCCTTCCCCCATGTAAGGACATAGCAAGAAGGCACCATCTATGGAACAAAGAGCAAACGTTCACTAGACACTGAATCTATTGGCCTTGACCTTGGATTTCTCAGTCTCTAGAATTGTAAGAAGAAATTTTCTGTTGTTTATAGGTTGTCCAGTCTATGATATTTTGTTAGAGTGGGCAGAACAGACTAAGACACCTCTGTTAGCTTCAGGTTTGGTTTTTCCTCCTTTTCCTAGATCCACAAGGTGTTAAGTTATTGATTTGAAATCATTTTTCTTTTTAACGTAGGTATTTATAGCTATAAATTCCCCTCTGAGCACTATTGTCACTGTATCTCATAAGTCATGGTATGTTATTTGTTCATTTTCATTCTTAACTATTTTCTAATGTCCCTTGATTGTTTAATAGTGTATTGTATTTTTGTAGATTTATTAATATTCCAGGTCTCCTTCTATTATTGATTTTTAGCTTTATTCTGTTATTGGTTAGAAAAGCATACGTTGTATAACTTCAGTTATTGAAAATTTATTCAGACTTGTTTTACAGACTAACATATGGTCTATTCTGGAGAATATTCCAAGGTCACTAGAGAAGAATATATAACCTACTGTTGTTGGGTTGAGTCTTCTATACATTTCTGTAGGGTCTGATTGGTTTGTAGTGTTGCTCGTTTTCTCTGTGTCCTTATCGATATTTGATCAGATGCTCTATGCATTGATGAAAGTGCTATATTGCATTCGCCAATCTTTTTTTTTTTTTTTTTTTGAGACGGAGTCTCACTCTGTCACCCAGGCTAGAGTGCAGTGGCACAATCTTGCCTCACTGTAACCTGCTTCTCCAAGGTTCAAGCGATTATTCTGCCTCAGCCTCCTGAGTAGCTAGGATTACAGGTGTGTATCACCACGCTTACCTGGTTTTTGTATTTTTAGTAGAAATGACATTTCACCATGTTGGCCAGGCAGTAAGTCACCATGCCTAGCCCTCTCCAGCTGTTAGTGTAGAGCTCTCTATTATGCCCTTACTTCTGTCATATTTACTTAATATATGTTGGGTCTCTGTTATGCAGTGCACATATGTTTACAGTTGTTATAGCTTTTTGGTGAATTGGCCCCTTTATCAATATATAATGTACTTCTTTATCTCTAAGTCTATTTTGCCTGATGTTAGTATAGCCACTCCTGCTTTTGTTTTGGTTACTATTTGTGTAAAGTATCTTTTTATATACTTTCAACTTACTTATATTTTTGGAGATAAAGTGAGTCTATAAACAGCATATAGTTAAATCATGTTGTTTTATCCATTCTGCCAACCTGTCTTTTGATTGGAGAGTTTAATCTATTTATATTTAAGGTGATTGCTGAAAAGAGAAAATTTACTTTTAACATTTTTTGTGTTCTATCTGTCTTATACCTTTTTTGTCCTTCATTTCCTCTATCTGCTTTCTTTTCTTCACATTTCTTTTTTTCTTTTCAGACAGGGACTTGCCCAGTTGCCCAGGCTGCAGTGGTGTGGCACAATCATAGCTTACTGCAGTCTTGAACTCCTAAACTCAAGCAATCCTCCCACCTCAGCCTCCTGAGTAGCTGGGACTACAGGCACATGCCACCACATCTGTCTAATTTTTATTATTTTTTGTAGAGACAGGGTCTTGCTGTGTTGCTTAGGCTGGTCTTGAACTCCTGACCTCAAGTCATCCTCTTACCTCAGCCTCCCAAAGTGATGGGATTACATTGTGGGCCTCTCCTGCTGGTGGGTGCAGCATGAGCCACTACACCTAGTCACATTTCATTTTTTTTTAATAGTTATTTTCTTTTTCTGGTATACAATACACTTGGGAATTATACTGTACCAGGCATAAGTAGTAAGATTTCTATCACAGTGACATTCCATGATGCTTTATGTTTAGTTTATATTTTTCTAGTGAGCTGTTTTGATTCTCTTTTCATCCCCTTTTGTGATATTTTTTGGAGATTTTCTTTGTGATTTCCATGGGGATTTTATGTAGCATCCTAAATTTAAAATAGTCTGTACTGAGTTAATACCAATTAAACTCCAAAACCATACAAAAACCTCTTCTACTATCTGTCACATATTACATCTTTATACATTGTATGCCCTTCTGAAGACCAAAGTGGAATTAGCCATCAGCAGTTTTAGTAATTCTTTGTGTTTCCGAAATGCTTGTCAATGAATTAGCACTTGGCCGGCTGCAAAGAATCACACGTAGGAGAGTTGGTTAAAGAACAGATTTACAGATTTCCAACTTTTCTGCCCCCTTTCTTTCTTATTTTATTTTTTTTCTGTTGGTCTGAGAAAGTGCTTGGGAATTAAATGTCTCCAGCAGATACGTGTGGAAATTATTGCCCTGGAGGTTTCTACCTAGGTATCCCAGTCAAGAATGCTATGCGTGGATGAAAGCCACCACCACAAATTCCACAATTTTTCCCTCCAAATTTACAGGTTTGACTGCATACGAAACAAAATGTGTGTTGCAGCCTTTGGAGTGATTTCTGCTTTCTTGGCAGTGGTGAGCGGCTTTGGCCTGCTCTTGCACATTGGGGTGCCATTTGTCATCATAGTTGCCAATTCGCCATTTCTTATTCTAGGTGAGTAAAACACAGCGGGAGGCTACACACTGCATATGTTGCGGGGTAGGGATATAAGGGAAAGAATTGTATGGAGGTGGCTCTATAGTCCAAAAATGAGGTGCCAGGAAATAGGGAAGTGTAATCAAACTGGATATCTCTAGAAGTGGAAAGATCAAGTATCCCAATGGAAAAACAGACCATGTACATGAACAGCAGTTCACATGCAAAAATCAAAATACAAGTCACTAAAAATACAGCCATGCATCAATTAACATTGAGTGTCTGAGAAACGCGTCCATAGGCAATTTTGTCATTGTGTAAACTTCCTAGAGTGTACTTACACAAACCTAGATTGTATATCCTACAATGCACCTAGGCTCTGTTGGCCTCTTGCTTCTAGGCTGCAAACCTGTACAGCATGTTACTATACTAAATACTATAGGTAACTGTCATACAATGGTAAGTATTTGTGTATCTAGATATATCTAAACATAAAAAAGGTACAGTAAAAGGCTGGGTATGATGGCTCACACCTGTAATCCCAGCACTTTGGGAGGCTGAGGTGGGCAGATCACGAGGTCAGGAGTTCGAGACCAGCCTGGCCAATATGGTGAAACCTTGTCTCTACTAAAAGTACAAAAATTAGCTGGGCGTGGTGGCACACGCCTGTAATCCCAGCTACTCAGGAGGCTGAGGCAGGAGAATCGCTTGAACTCAAGAGGCAGAGGTTGCAGTGAGCTGAGATCATGCCACTGCACTCCAGCCTGGGTAACAGAGGGAGACTCCATCTCAAAAAAAAAAAAAAGTATTTTTCTTTCTTCAATAATAAATTAACATTAACTTACTGTAACTTTATTTTATAAACTTTTTTTTCTTTTTTCTTTTTCTTTTTATTTTTATTTTTATTTTTATTTTTTTCCCATTTATTTATTTTATTGCATTTTAGGTTTTGGGGTACATGTGAAGAACATGCAAAATTGTTGCATAGGAACACACGTGGCAGTGTGATCTGCTGCCTTCCTCCCCATCACCTACATCTGGCATTTCTCCCCCTGCTATCCCTCCCCAGCTTCCCACCCCCCAACGTCCCTCCCCTATTTCCCCCCAACTGACCCCAGTGTGTAGTGCTCCCCTCCCTGTGTCCATGTGTTCTCATTGTTCAACACCCGCCTATGAGTGAGAACATGCGGTGTTTGATCTTCTGCTCTTCTGTCAGTTTGCTGAGAATGATGGTTTCCAGGTTCATCCATGTCCCTACAAAGGACCCAAACTCATCGTTTTTGATGGCTGCATAATATTCCATGGTGTATATGTGCCACATTTTCCCTATCCAGTCTATCGTCGATGGGCATTTGGGTTGGTTCCAGGTCTTTGCTATTGTAAACAGTGCTGCAATGAACATTCGTGAAGTTTTTTTTAACTTTTTGACTTTTTGTGATAACACAGCTTAAAACACAAACATATTGGACAGTGGTACATAATATTTTCTTTCCTTATATCTTGGGATAAACAAACATATTGCTCTGACAGTCTTACGAAAATATAGCACATACAATTATGTACACAACATAATAATAAACAATTGTTACTCCTTTATGTATTCACTATGCTAAATCTTATGTTATTATTTTAGAGTATACTCTAGCTTATGAAAACAATAGTTAACTGTAAAATAGCTTCATGTAGGTTATTCAGGAGGTATTTCAGAAGAAGGCATTGTTGTCATAAGAGACAACTCCACATGTCCTGAAGACCTTCCAGTGGGACAGGATGTGGAGATGGAAGACAGTGAGAGTGATGACTCTGACCCTATGTAGGCCTAGGCTAATGGGTATGATTTGGGGGTTTTGTTTGTTTGCTTGTTTGTTGAGTTGGAGTCTCACTCTGCCACCCAGGCTGAAGTACAGTGGCTCAATCTCGTCTCACTGCAACCTCCGCCTCCTGGGTTTCAGCAATTCTCCTGCCTCAGCCTCCCAAATAGCTGGGGGACTATAGGCACGCTCTGCTATGCTCATGTGTGTTTCTGTATCTCAGTTTTTAATAAGTTTAGAAAGTAAAAAAATAAAAAAAATTTTAATAGAAAAAGCCTTATAGATTAAAGATATAAGGAAAGAAAATATTTTTGTACAGCTATCCAATGTTTTTGTGTTTTAAGCTGTGTTATCACAAAAAGCCAAAAAAGATTTTTTAAAGACTTAAAAGTTTATAAAATAATAAAGTTACCAGAAGCTAAGATTAATTTATTATTGAAGAAAGAAAAATATTTTTAAAATAAATGTAGTGTAACCTAAGTATCCAGTGTTTATAAAGTCTACAGTAGTATACAGGAATGTCCTTCACACAAACTCTACAAAATGGCTTAGATTAAATCAATTGTATACATCTTAGCTATAGTTATTTATGGCTGTGAGGTACACTGGATGATTAGGTGTGAGTATGGACAAGGAAGGCATGCCTTGAAAAACTAGAATAAATAAGCTAATATCCAGTACACAATTCACTGTCTCCCCTAGAAAACCAAATACCAGTTTTTCCAAGATACTTACTTTCTAAAATATAAGAACCTTTATTTTCTCATGCTTACTGTAAAATAAATTCTGAACTTACCAAAAATACAAAGAAAAATGGAAAACTGTAATTCTACTCTTCCAGGATAATTTCTGCTAATATTTTTATGTATATCCAACCAGAATTTGTTCTATGCAAATATGCACATAGAGCCATCTCTCCATTTCAAACGTCTTATTTTATAACAAGAAATTTTCATTTAACATTAAATATCTATCTCTTTTTAAAAAGACTGAGTATGACTCTAATCTAATGCTAGGCTTGATTCGGTCCATCCCATATTGTTATGGGTTATGTTGTTTTCAATATTTTCCTACTATAAATTATATCAAAATGAACACACTTGTTCTACTTTTGAGCATTTGTCCAATTAGGACAAATTCCTAGAAGTAGGATTATAGGTCAAAGGTATTCCCTCTTTAAAAGTCTTTTGCTTTGTTGCAAATGTGAACTGAAATAGTCTGTACCAATTTACATTTCTCCCTAGCAGACAACAAGTGTGTTCACTTGCGGACAACCATCCAAAAATCCTCAGTCTTGTTAATATTGATTAATAAGAAAAACAAGTGTCTCGCTTGTGGTTTAATTTGCATCCCTTGATTAATTGAAAGGTCAAATATTTTATTCTTATACCATTATGCACTACATAACAATGTTTTGGTCAGATAGACTGCATATACAAGGCAGACCACATATACAATGGTAGTCCCAGAAGTTTATAATGGAGCTGAAAATTTCCAATCACCTATTGATATCACAACCATCCTATTGTCATAATGCAATTCATTACTCACATGTCTGGTAGGAAGTTTGAGGGAGGTGAAATTTATCTGCAACATGCTCATGGTGCATTTTTCAGTTCATTTTTTGTGTGTGTGTGATCCTCCTTTCCCAGGCTTCGGTCATGACTTGAAAATCCTCAGATGTTCTCCTATTCCACCAAATCTGAAAGGTCATTGAGGAAAGGAGCTAAGTATCTAGTAGGCGTTCACATGTAAAGAATGTAAAGAATTCTTAAGATTTACCTTGACATATTTTTCTGATCTCATTGTAATGACCTAGGCAAGTGAAATCTGAATACTAGCATTCTAGGTATCAGAAACAAACTAGCAGAAAAATTACAGTTGTGCATGTGCCTGTGTGTCTTATAAACTGTGTGTTGCCTCTCAAATCATATCACAGAGATAGCCAGATGCTAACCATAGAACAAGTTAAGTCCAACTTATATTTCAAGCAACAGAACGTTGGCTGGATGTGTCTGTAAATGAGCATGAAATATAAGAGAAAATGATCTGTCAAGCAATCTATTGGAATCGACGATACACTGCCAATGTTCATTTGGTTAACACCCATCTAGCCAGGTTTTCTGATCTCATCATGGAAACACCCTAAGTGAAGAGTAGAGTATACTGTGCTTGCAATCACAGGTGTATGTACAAAGCAAATACTTATTATGAAGGAAGTTGTGATGAGTTCTGTTGTAAATTCAGAGGCAACCAGGGAAAGCATCACAGAGAAGACAATATTTAAGCAGAGATTGGGCAAGATAAATAAAACCCTAAGAGACAGAAAAAGAAAATGGTTTAAATCAACCTCTTTAATTTTTAGTGGATAGTAGTATGTATGAAGATTCTGTTTCTTTTTTTTTTTTTTTTTAACAGGTGTTGGGGTCGATGACATGTTTATCATGATTTCTGCCTGGCATGAGACCAGCCTCGCAGATGACATACGACAGCGGATGTCCAGTGTCTATTCCAAAGTGGCAGTATCCATTACAATCACCACCATTACTAACATCCTGGCCTTCTATACAGGGGTTATGAGCTCTTTTAGGTCCGTACAATATTTTTGCATCTATACAGGAACAAGCCTGTTATTTTGCTATTTTTATTCCATCACCTGTTTTGGAGCATTTATGGCCTTGGATGGTAAAAGAGAAGTAGTCTGCTTACGCTGGTTGGAAAAGTCTGACCCAAAATGGTCCTCATTTAAAAAGTCCTGCTGTTTCCCCTTTGGTTCTGTTCCAGATGAACATGGAACTGATAGTCATCCAGTGACTTTGTTTTTTAGAGACTATTTTGGCCCTTTGCTCACAAGCACTGAGTCCAAGTTTTTTGTAGTCTTTCTATACATTTTGTACCTCACAAGCAGTATATATGGGTGTTTCCAAGTGGAGGAAGGTTTAGACCTTCGAAATCTGGCAAGTGATGATTCCTACATCACACCATATTTTAATGTAGAGGAAGGTTATTTTTCAGATTATGGCCCCAGGGTTATGGTTATTGTTACTAAAAAAGTTGACTACTGGGATAAAGATGTTAGGCAAAAACTGGAAAACTGTATTAAAAATTTTGAAAAAAATTACTATATAGATGGAAATTTTACAGAGTTTTGGTTAAGTGCATATGTGCAATATTTAAAAGGTAAGAGCCAAGATCCTAATGATAAGAATACTTTTATGAATAATATTCCTGATTTTTTTAGCAATTTTCCAAATTTTGAGTATGATGTTAATATTTCATCATCAAATGAAATCATTTCTTCCCGGGGCTTCATTCAGACAACGGATGTTTTTTCCTCAAAGGATAAGAAAATAATGTTATTCCAATTACGAAGCATAGCTGAAGACTGTCAAATTCCCCTAATGGTGTATAACCAGGCATTTATATATTTTGATCAGTATGCTGCAATAGTAGAAAACACTGTTCGAAATGTCATGGTGGCATCGGCAGCTATGTTCATTGTTTCCTTATTGTTAATTCCTCATCCAATGTGTTCCTTGTGGGTGACTTTTGCTATTGGTTCTGTGATTGTAGGAGTAACGGGTTTCATGGCATTCTGGAAAGTTAATCTTGATTCCATATCCATGATTAATCTTGTCATTTGTATAGGGTTTTCTTTCGATTTTTCTGCACACATTTCCTATGCATTTGTTTCTAGTCCTCAGCCCTCAGTAAACCAAAAATCAATTGAGGCGTTATATCTTCTAGGCTACCCAGTGTTACAAAGTGCAGTTTCAACGATAATAGGGGTGTGCGTTTTAGCTACGGCAAAAGCATACATCTTCAGAACATTTTTTAAGATTATGTTTCTTGTTATGGTATTTGGGGCTGCTCATGGCCTAATTTTTATTCCAGTATTCTTGACCTTTTTTTGAAGATTTATTTGAATATCCACTAACAAATCAAAGACCAATTCTAGAATTCTTGATTGCCCCAATCCAATCTGATTTTTTTTAAGGCACTGTTAATAATAGTCAACAAACTTGTTGGGAAGCCAAAGCGGGTGGATCACCTGAGGTCAGGAGTTCGAGACCAGCCTGGCCAACATGTGAAACCCCGTCGCTACTGAAAACACAAAAATTAGCCAGGTATGGCAGCATGCACCTATAATCACAGCTACTTGGGAGGCTGAGGCAGGAGAATTGCTTGAACCCAGGAGGCAGAGGTTGCAGTGAGCCGAGATCATGCCATGGCATTCCAGCCTGGGTGACAAGAACAAGACTCCTTCTCAAAAAAAAAAAAAAAAGTATAGTCAACCAACTAAAAACAAGGTCATGTTTCCTTGACTTGGAAATCCCATTTTAAATTATTATTTTAAATATCCTGATAAAAATTAATTAGTCTTATGTTAAAATATCTTCACTAAATTAGGAAGTGTTATCTTTCTTACAGTCTTTACAATCAAGTATAAGGTACAACTTTTCAGTTATGTTTTCCCTTTATATTTATGCCTGGAATTCAACTACTGTATATATTATTCATACTATAAATGGAATATTATTTTCATTGTACTTGCTGTATGCATTCATATTTGAAAATGCATCTTATTTATTTTCCCATTCAGGGGATTTTCTATGCATTTTGTTAATGGTATATTTTGATAAGCAGAAGTTTTTAAAGTTTATAAATCCAATTTATCTTTTTTTTTTTATGGTTCGTGCTTTCTGTATCCTAAGAAATATTTTGACTACTCCGAGGTTACAAATAAAGTCATCTGTGTTTCCTCCTCTAAGCTAAGAGTTTTGATTTTACATTTAGGTCTGTGATCCATATATGTGTATTTGTTGGGCAGTATGGATAAAGGTTCACTTTCTTCCTGTAAAAGCTGCCCATTTGTCTCAGCATCACTTGTGAAAAGACTATCCTTCATCATGGATTAACCTGGCACTTATAAAAAAACCAATTGGCAATTTATGTGTGGTCGTAATTCTGTGCCATTGATTTGTTTGTCTGCACTAAGACCAATATCACCACACTGCCTTCATTACTGAAGCTTTGTATTCATTATTGAAATTAGCATGTGTATGTTATCCACTTTTATCCTCATTAATCTTTCTGATTTCAAAGTTGATCTGTGTTATTTTCTTTTTTTTGGAGAATTCACCTGTGACGCTGTCACTCCGGCTGGAGTGCAGTGGTGCGATCATAGCTCACTGCAGCCCAAACCTCCTGGGCTCATGTGATCCTCCCACCTCAGCGTCCTGAGTAGCTGGGACTACATTTGTGCCATTACATCTGACTATTTTTTTAATTTTTTTTAAAAGACAGGGTCTTGCTGTGTTGTCCAGGCTAGTCTTGAACTCTTGGCCTCAAGCAATTCTTCTGTCTCAGCCTGGGATTACAGGTGTGAGCCACCATACCAACATTTTGTTACTTTTTTATCTTAAACTCTATAAACCAATATTGTTTTTTAAAGAAGGTATTCATCATAATAAAATTATACTGTAACAAAGCAATTCATTTTTGCCCTGGAACTTGGTTTTGGCCCTTGAATTTAACTCGTCACACCAGTGGGTTGGGAATAGTGAAAAACAGCAACAGTGTAGAAGTTCTGTTAATGATTAGAAATGTTAGCTATTTAAATGTAATCTTGCCTAAAGGTTTTAGCTGTGTTCTTGCTGTTTTGGAATTAGTGGCTCCAGCTCCTTAGTTATCTCTCCCAGACATCAATTCCAAATTAGTTTCTTTTCCTCACTAAAAATACTGGGGAGGGAGGGGTGGAGGGGGTAATGTCAGCACAAACGGGGTAGAATGTAGTTCCAAGAGCCCATTTCACCACAAAAATTAAAAATTGAAAAAAGCAAAAACTGTTAGAAAAGACTCTAATTGAACTCTGGAAAATGGTTCAAGGTTTACACCAACCAAGTGGTTGAATCTGATTCAAGTGGACTTTGAATCAGAAAAAAAAGCAACTTAAAAATGGTAGGAAAACCTTGTGTCATTTTTATTTGCCCTTATCTCACCTCCTTTCCCTGGCTTGATAGTGACAGTGGTCCTAAGAAGGTAGCCTAGGCCAGGCGTGGTGGCTCACGCCTGTAATCCCAACACTTTGGGAGGCCGAGGCAGGTGGATCACCTGAAGTCAGGAGTTCGAGACCAGCCTGGCCAACATGGTGAAACCTGGTCTCTACTAAAAATACAAAAATTAGCCAGTCATGGTGGCATGTGTGCCTGTAATTCCAGCTGAGGAGGCTGACGCAGGAGAATCACTTGAGCCCAGGAGGCGGAGGTTATAGTGAGCTGAGATTGTGCCATTGCACTCCAGCCTGGGTGACAGGGCAAGACTCCGTCTCAAAAAAAATTTTTTTAAAAGAAGCTAGCCAACATGTATTTCTACCAGGTGTGGGACCCAGGTTCCTAGTTCCAGAGAAAGAAAAGATCTCATTCACAAAGAGTTTGTCTATATAAACATGTCTACGAGCTGTTGGAAAACTGACACAAAGCACTTATCCTTGTTTCACCTTATCCAGAACTCACTCATGGTGAAAAGGCAGAAGAATTTCTTTAAAACATTTTAAGGCAAATGAACAGCCCACAAACATCAGGGTCAAAAAGTTACTGTTGAGGTATTCAATAGTGCCCAAAAGCCAGGGAGGAAAGGCTAGGCAGAGTTTCTTTGTCAAATTAAGGCATTCAAAAGCACCTTTATATACTGGGAATTTGTGCATGTGTGTCTTTAAGACAGAGTCTCATTCTGTCACCCAGGCTGGAGTACAGTAGCATGATCTCGGCTTTCTGCAACCTTTGCATCCCAGGTTCAAGCCTCCTGAGTAGCTGGTACTCTAGACAGGCAACACAGCACCCAGCTAAGTTTTATATTTTCAGTAGAGATGGGGTTTTGCCATTTGGCCAGGCTGGTCTCGAACACCTGACCTCAGCTGATCCATATACTGAGAATTTTAAAGCCATGCACATGCTCAGGGCAGGGCACATACTCAGAAAGGATCTGTGAAAACTTGAAGCTTTAACCTCTGGCTGATCACTCCAGTCCAGCAGGAAGTGAAGGGGATGCTGTAGCTCCCTTGGGGTATGTGACCTCAAAGGAGCCCACCAAGGTGATGCTTCCCTGGGGTGCCTCACCTCTATGGGATCGCACAAGGGTAGGGGACAGGCCCAAGCAATACCAGCGTGCTAGGTCTCTCTAGTAGCACTAGTAGTCTCCATGAGCAAATGGATGTATTCCCAGAAGATACCAAGCAACTCATAGGGGATGCTGCAGCTTTTCCTGTGGCTACCTGGGGCCCAAGATTCAAACACATGCCTACCAAAAATATGGCATTATTTAGTGATGGCTCCATGAAACTAAAAGCAGGTGGGGTCCATTGGGCTGTATCAGTGGATGGCCATCTTTTGACTCAGACTGAACACAGATGTTCCAACCAACCAACCAAACTACCTGCAGTGGTAATGGCCAAGCAGGCCACCCCTACCACCATATTGCTACATTTTCACTGACTCATGGGCCATTGCCAGCAGCCTAGCCAAATGGTCAGGAGAATGGCGGCTGAGTGACTAGACTATTAAAGGATCCCCTGTGTGAGGACAAGGACTATGCCAACAGCTTCCTGCCTGGAAGAGACAAATACATGTCACTCATGTGGACACTAGGAATACCATAGCCACCGTTGAGATAACTTATGTCATGTTTTTTGGATACTCTGCGAGATGTCCTGTTAACCTATGAACATCCTTCACTGCCCAAGCAACAAGACACGTGTTACACTTTCAGAGGATATGATGAGCTTCCATGCACCCTGTTATGCATCAGCCAGTGAAACCATTAAATGATGGAACAGCCGATTCACAGAGCAACTGAGGAGAGAACATCACGGCAACCTGCTGGTGGGATGGTACCTGGGCACTAAACACAATGAAAACACAGCATTGTAACACATGTTGAGAAACACTGAAGTTGGTAAGGGTGGTTGTGGACCAGGCAGCTGCCTGATTGGCCTGAGCCTGCAAAATCCTCATGTTTCCAACAATTCTTTTTTTGCTTTAGAGAGCATGTCCTGTGGGTGGTTTGCAGTCAGCCTGCCACAGTACCCCAGATAGGGCCCTCTGACTCTAATCTGGAGGGAATACTTCCCCTCAGTGCCTCTCCTCCCCTCTATGTGATCTCACAAGATTGAGTGACAAAACCAAGGAATACAAGGGTGCTAGGGTCCCTCTAGGAGCACTAGGGACATCGGATCCTTCCAGTCAGGTGGGCAGTGTTATCACGCATATTAAGTTTGTACAGGACACGACCTCTCTTCTTAGACTGGACAACTGAGCCCAAAAGGTCTGGGTTACGCAGTAAGGGCAAGGGGTGCCCTCAGAGGTGGCAGCCACAGGATAGGGACAGATAGACTAGGTCACTACACCAACTTAACCCATTTTTTTTTTTCTGAGATGCAGTTTCACTCTTGTTGCCCAGGCTGGAATGCAATAGCGCATTCTCAGCTCACCACAACCTCCACCTCCCAGGTTCAAGCGATTCTTCTGCCTCAGCCCCCCGAGTAGCTGGGATTTCAGGCATGCACCACCACACCCAGCTAATTTTTGTATTTTTAGTAGAGATAAGGTCTCTTCATGTTGATCAGCCTGGTCTTGAACTCCTGACCTCAGGTGATCCACCCGCCTCGGCCTCCCAAAGTGCTGGGATTATAGGCGTAAGCCACCATGCCCAGCCCAATTCTTACCTGATAAGCAGGAAACACCTGGGCCCCCCTGGACAGGTGGGAGTGGGACACGAACCTGTCAATCTGCTTTTTCCACAGGATGGGGCAGCAGAAGCCTGGGATTGTAATGCTTTAGTGGACTCTTTCAAGCTGTGGCCAGGGCAGGCAACCTGACAAAGTGTCGGATCTGCCACCCTGGACCTCCTCCTGTCA